CTGTGGCTTGTTGATTTTGTTATAAGGTGGCCTACTAATTATATGATGAGAATGGTAATAAAAATATCTATGGGAACATGGAACAAATCAGTAATTAAGGATTAAGTGGAAAAAACTGGCAGCAGCACAGTAGAAACAGTACTGTGGAACAGTAGAAACAGTAGAAAATTTATACTTTTATAAATTAATACTAATAATACAGTAGACCCTCTGTATGTTGACCATCCAAGGGACTATAACAAACTGGTCAACATATGGAGGTCGTCAACTTAAAGAACTTAAGGCCTACTGTATTGATACTTACATGTGGCATGTGAAAATTAGGTCAACTTAAGGAAGTGGTCAATGTATGGAGGGTATATTGTAACTTACAAGGTAATATTCATGCCAGGAAAAGACCCAGAAGACCACGTAGCAAAGCGTTCACAGGGATCACCTCTGGTGGGAGGCGGGTTTGAGTGGTGGGGTTGAGGAAGCGGGGATATTTTGCTTTTTATTTCATACTCTTCCAGTTTGGGTATCACATGGTTGGGACACACTGCTTTTGAAATAAAAAAAGTACTGAACAAGTGTTTTCTTCAGTGCCTGGGCACGAGTCCTTGTCAGTTTTATGGGGCACTCTCTGAATGTCTTCAGCATTCTCTCTGGGATAAGAGGTTCGACTTCACTCCCTGCCACCTGAGAAGCTCAGCTGTCTGGTTTGGGGTTGGGGAGGGGTAGAGACACGTGGCAGGTCTCACCTGGGGAATGGCCCGGGAGCAGCTGCGCCAGGTGTACAGCATGACCGCATACTCGTGTCCTTCCTCCAGCATCTCATTCTGAAAGAGCAAAATATCCTTAGCAAGGAGAACTACGCCGGTGCTACACACTTCTCAACAGCCCCCCAGATCCTCACCACTCAGTGTGGTCCGGGGACCAGCAGCATGGGCATCGTGGGGAAAAGGCGGTTCTGCAGGGGGTGGGCGCTTACTAGAAAGGCAGAATCTCAGGCTCCTCCCTGGGCCTATGGGATAAGAATCTATATTTTGACAAAATTCCCAGATGATGCACACGCACAGCAAGCTTGAGAGGAATCGTCCTAAATCATCCTCATCAGACGCCCAAGGACTCTAGGCCACATTTACCAAACAGATGGATGGCTACCTTAGGAAGAATGAGCAGATCGATGTGTTCCCACAGCAAAAGCTGCCCCAGATAGAAGGCTGGCAAGAAAATAAGCAAGTGGCAAAACAGTACGTGTAGTAGATAGGTTAAAAAACAACATCACTATTACACTGGAACTAACTAACCATCCCCAAAGTGCGCATCTGGTAGAAAGCAAGCAGGTGGGAAGGGGCAGGACAGGAGGGGTCAATTCACACCTAACAGGTACAATGCACACTGGGCGAGGGGCACACTTATAACTTTGACTCAAACTGTATCAAAGTGATTCATTTATCCAAAACATTTGCATTCTTATACTATTCTGAAATTAAAAACAATAACAACAAAAAGCCCAGGATAATTATGAATATGTATTATGGATTGAAAAAAAAATTTGATGCAACATGAACCAAGCTATGAATAGCAAGCTTTCTGTGAGACTGAATTATTTTGTTACTTCTTACATCGTATAGACTCTAACGTTCACAATCGAATAAGAGCCCACATTATTATTTTATGAGCAGGAAAACGATTAATAGCAATTTTAAAAAATCATGTAGAGCAGATGGCAAAACAAACATGAGAAATGAACATGAAAAATACAGTGATGACTCAGCTCACCCAGTAGGTGCTACTGTGAAATGAGCCCTCAACTCAGGTCCAAATATGTGGGCTCCAATCCCAGTGTTATCACTTATTAACCTTGTAGCCTATTGGAAGTCCCCTCAAAATTCTCCACTTAGTTATCTGTTAAATGATGATAAAAATAATAATCTCATAGAATTTTGGAATTAAAAGGATTACACACACACACAAACACACACACACACACACACATCTCTATGTATAACAGAGAGTGCCAAAAATATATATACATTTTAATGAAAAAACTGTAATAAAATTGTAATAATCAAGTTATGTCTGACATTTGACTTCTGCAATTACAAGAGACACAAAATACAATATACAAGGTAACAAACATCATTGGTATATATTGACAATTACAATTTTAATACAGTTTTTTCCTTTCTTGAAATGTGTTTACTTCTCTTGCTACCGTCTGAAAGGGGTAAGCAGTGGCACCCAGAGACTAGAGAAGAGAGAAAATATTCAGGTCAAGCTTATTGAAAGGGGAGCATGACCTGCCTGGGCAGTGCAGAGGTTGTGTCTGTGCCTGGGGGCACTTAGAGACCCCTTTTATATGGGGCCATAGGGGCTGGGCAAATTCCACAGCTTGCCCAGAAAGTTAGGGTCTTTGGCAAAAACGTATTTTGGGGGACTAGCCAGATCCTTTGTGTCTTAGGAGGAAAGGAGGAGTAGGAGGGGAAGAAAGGGTTCAGGTGTGGCTGCGTTAGGCCCCCCAACACCCTCTATACATAAACACACTCCAGTTCACCTCTAAGACAAGTTAGGAAAACAATCTAGCAGCACCACAAGTTACCATTTGACCCATCAATTCCATTCCTAGATGTATAGCTAAGAGAATTGTATATTTTAAACGGTTTTATGGTCAACAGACAGTATGCCTTGAAAAATACAATGAAAAATAATATTACTAGGTCATTTCCCTTTGTATGTGTAAATGTTTGCATCTACACGGAAATAAACCCTAATTGCTCTGTTTTTAAATCCACATACCTATTTCATAATGTCTTGTTAGTACAAGATCAGATTTAATTTGCTTATAACAGTTCTGTTTGCATTAGCAAATGTCCAGTGACAAATCACTTTCAATTCTTAATTTAGAGAACTTGTTAGATCAGTAACATGTCCTTGAGACTAGAAAGAACCAATGTCAAAGTCAAGCCTGTGGGTCTCCTACAGCCTCAGAACACATGTCAAAAAGGGGAAGAAATAGTTATGTAAGAAACACGTGTTTACTTTTAGTACCAAACTAAACACCTGCAAGTAAGTATAATTCCAACTCATTTATTCAAAGAATGTTTTACTGACCACTCTGGGGTCCTGGGCTCTGCTTTGTGCTGGGCATAGGGCAGTGAACAAGGATATGGACTCTGCCCTATGGACAGTTTGGTTGGCCATCGGCCAGACTGTAGTCTAATCATGCCTGAAATGCAAAAGGCAGGATGGTGTGGTGAAAAGAACAGGGCCCAGGCTGGCTCTTCTTGGGCCCATCTTTTAACTTGTAAATGCCACGGTTTCCTTATCTGGAGGTAAATGGTTGGTCCAAATTATTGGTTCTACACACTGAAAATTCTGTAATGACTAGGCCATACCCCCAACTAGCTAAATATTTATTGGGGGTGAGGGTCTAGGTAACTGGTATTTTTTAACGATCCCCAGGGATTCCCTTTGTGGTCTAGCTTGCAGCTGCAGAACTAAGGATTCATAAAGTCCTTTACATTTCCAATATTCTGTAGTCAGAGACTTAAATCCAATGTGAGTCTGGTTCAAATTTCAGTGCTGGTAGTGACAGATTTTATCTCTCAACATTCAGACAGCCCCCGCCCCCTGGAACCATACACTTGGTCAACTGTGTAGTTGATATACTTTCTCTTCCTCTCTTCTGTGGTCATTCTGGCCTTTAAGAGTGAACTTGCCCAAGTGTGGCAGGAGAATTATAAGAAAACAAGTGCCCACCTGCTGCTACTGAGCAACTTTCCAAGGTACCAGTGGAAACTGTTGACTGAAGTGAGATTTTGGTGTTATCCAAGAATGTTACCTGTACACCTTACTTATAACTCATGTCTAAACCACATCAACACTATCCTTGTGTAGGCAGAATAAAGACCCCCTAAGCTGTCTGCATCCTAATCCCCAGTACCTATGAATATGTTACCTCATGTGGAAAAAGGGACTGTGCTGATGTAATTATGTTAAGAGTCTTGAGTTGAGGAGGTTGTCTTGAATTATCCTAGAGAGCTTAGTGGAATCACAAGCATCCTTATAAGTAAAGAAGGAGGCAGGAGAATTAGAGGAGAAGTAAAGATTCAAGCAGAGTTCAAGGTGATAGGACTGCTCACTGGATGGGGACCAAAAGCCAACGAGTGCTGGCAGCCTCTAGAATACTGATTTTCAACCACTACGCCATGGCACACGAGAGGATTTCGGTATGCCACGAAATTTTTGAAAGATCATTAATTATTTGCAAAAGAAGTTCAAAGCACATTCTTTTTTTTCCACCCCTTTTTTCTGATCAACATAATTTAAGTGTACAATGGAAGTTTAACTACAGATTCAAGTGTGCCGTGAGAAAAAAAAGGTTACAAAAACACTGCTCTAGAAGCTGGAAAAGGCAAGGAAACAGATTCACCTAGAGCTTCCAGAGAGGAATGTAGCCCTGCCAGATGTAGGACTTATAACCTCAAGAACTGCAAGCACATAAATTTTTATTGTTTTAAGCCACTAAGTCTGTGATAATCTGTTAGAGCAGCCATAGAAAGGAATACTATCACCTTCCAAACCAGTCTCTCCTTCTGGCTTGCCTACTGGTGGCCTTGAACTGGTATTTGGGGAAAACTCCATTGGCATGGTTCCAGCTGACTACTAAGCCAAGTGGACTCACACACCCAGTGGTTCTCACATCCACATACTCTTGGCCAGCCCCAGGGCCATCCCCTCATTCAGACTTTAATGCGTCTATGCAGACAAATTTATCTTGACTGGTTCACTTGCCTCATTCACCCCCACTTAAAACTCATTCTACACACACTAACAAAAGAAATTTATCCCCAAAGCAGGGTTCTCTCCACATCTCTCCTTAGGGATGAAGATTTTCCATTGTTTTGATTTTTTAAATACATTAAAGCCTCTGTTATGAGCTAAATTGCATACCCCCCAAATTCCTATGTTGACGCTCTAACCCTTCAGTACCTCAGGATGGGACTATATTTGGAGACAGGGTCTTTAAAGAGGTAATTAAGTAAAAAAATGAGATCATTAGAATGGGCCCTAGTCCAATCTCACTGACATCCTTTCAAAAAAAGGAAAAATTTGGACACACAAAGGGATCCCAGGGATGCACACACACACACAAAAAAAAGATCAGGTGAGGACGTAGTGAGAAGGAGCCGTCTGCACGCCAAAGACAGAGGGCTCAAGAGAAAATACATCTATGGTACCTTGATTTTGCACTTCTAACCTCCAGAACTGTGAGAAAGTAAGTGTCTATTGTTTAAACTACCCAGTCTGTGGTACTTTGTGATGATAGCTTGAGCAAACTCATACACCCTCTATGCACTGACCCTTATCTAATTTTCTACAAAAGGTACAATTTCCCTATATGTACCATATAGTCCAAACCCAAACAGTCCCTGAAAATTCCTGCCCCTGTACCTTTACTCATGCTGGTTCTTCTACCTGGTACACTCCTCCCCCCTGTCTCATCTCTGACTGATAAAACTCTGTGAGACAAGAGAGAACAGTGGCGAGATCAGGACTAGGGATCAGTCCTGGATTTCAGATCCAGTCTTATGACTCACTAGTTGTGGCAACACGAGCAACTTGCTTATAAACTTCTCTAGGCCTCAGTTTTCACATCCCTAAAATAGGTTTAATGATCCCTTTGCTAGTAATAGGACTATTAAGAGGATCCCATAACATGCATGAGAATACCTTATACACATTTTAAGGTGCGATATACCTATAAGGAACCTTTACAAGGAACATTACATTTCCAATACTCTTTAGTCTGAGACTTAAATCCTCCTACAAGGCTGCATTCAAAAGCTACTTCCTTCATCAACCTTTCTCTGACCCTCTCAAGGCCCTTTCAAGAACATATGATTTTGAACTTTTACCATGACCTTTACCCTTAACTTTGTGTGGTATTATCTGTCTGCAAAGTGTAGCCCAGTTTTATAGTCAGATAGACCTGGGTCTAGATCTGTCACTGGTCAGCACCAGATCCCTGAATAAGTTACTTATCATTTCCAAGATCCAGTTTTCCCCATTTGTAAAATGGATATTATAACAGAACCTACCTCACAGGGTTGATATGAGCAGTAAATGAGATGCTTCTAAAATATTGGCACAGAAAAAGTGTCCAATAAATGGTAAGCTTGCTAATTTCCCACTTGACTCATTGTGAAGCAGGACCTGCCCCTGTTTGGCCTTTAAGAGGTGATTGGGTCCTAAGGGCTCTGCCACCATGAATGGATTAATGTCATTATCACAGAAGGGGGTTCCTTATAAAGGATGAATTTGGAAGGCATCTCAGCCATGTGATGCCTTCTGCCATGATATAACACAGCAAGAAGACCCTCAACAGATACCAGCCACTCAATCTTGGAGTTTCCAGGCCACATAATCACAAACCAGTAAGTTTCTGTTCATTATAAATTACCCAGTCTATGGTATTCTGTGACAGTGGCACCAAATGGACTAAGACATATTGTGGGAAAGGTTTATTAAGCCACAGGAAGAGCCTATAAATGAGGAAATTGAAATTCTTCAAATTTTAGAAATTTTGCCTGAGAATAAAATTGATGAAAGCCCAAGAGGGAAGGGGATGATTCCTCCACAGACGGGTCAGATCCTAAGAAAGAAAATAGTAACTGGCCCTCTTTACAAATGATACAGTTTCCTAGGTGTGTTACTCCAAAGCCAAAGCCAGTGTCCCTTTGCTGAGGAACCTTTTACACTTTGGTCAAGAGACAAAATTCCACACACTTGGTAATCTGCAAAGACAAGGCAGGGTTTAATCACATGTTAATTCAAAAAGCATGGGAGCTCAGAGAAGCCAGCAGTGGGGATTAAGCTGGGTGCTCACAGTGAGTAGGATTTTGCAAAGCTGGAAGATAAAGGGGAACAGTACGTCCCTGGGCACTGAGAGGGAGACGGGGCAGAACGTGAGGATGGGCTTAAGCAGATGGTCTGACTGAGGCGCGGGGATCTTGGAGGGGCTGAGCACGCACCCCTGATATGAGAAGCTGCCTGCAGCCCCTCCCACCCGGCAGGCAGCATGTC